AATCATGCTCCACCACCTTTCCTGGAAAAGCTCCACCCTTGCCTATGGGGCAAAATATAAGGGACAAAGACACAAAACAAGACAGATAAAAACAAAGCAAAATTAACTCATTACCTAATGAAATTCAGGCTGGAGCAAAAACATAGGGAATAGGTATCTATGTCAAATTAGAATGAAAGATTAAAATCAACCTGACCAGGCCTTACGGTCTGACCTGGTCCTAACCACCTTACTTTGCCTAACTTAACCCAATTCCACCTAGCCTACCACAACACTGCAGAGGTACAGGTCTCGCGGGTTTTAGCGGTAGGTCGCTCGGCGAGCGGGAGGGCAACCAGTTCCGCCTCTGTATTGGTGACCATTTGCTCCGCCCAGTTACTCGCGAGCGCGTACTACGGCATATAGTAAAGTGGGGAGGGGAGGGTTAGAGTGGCAGCCTGCGTAGAGGCTAGAACCGGTTTTTATCGTCTGGGCCGGCGACACGGCATGCGGTCAGGGGACGGGGAAAGGTCAGAGGTCACTCACAATAGGCAGTACCGCGTTCCGTCCTCTCTGCGTGCTGACCAGCGCACGACCTCGGCCGTTGGCCAATCGGCATTGAACGGCCAAGGCCACCCGTAGCCAGCGGGCGGGGTGAGCCGGCAGCGTGCCGATCCATAGATAGTCGTCCAAAATTTTAGCCGCTTACCATTGAAGCCGGGAGACGGCTGTAATGTTATTTCTTGGGAACAGTTCTGTCATTTAACCCGCGCCCCGTTAGGTTCTGCCAAGCAACGCGCCCCGTGGGGGGGGGGGGGCATTTTGCTCTCCCCCTATGATCTCGAGAACCAGGAAATTCGAGGTCACTGATACCAGATCAGGTCACAGAGGTCAGGTCACTGAGGGTCACAATATGAAAGGTTATGTGATGCATGTTTTCTGGTCCATTTTTTTTCATGGCAAATGCGATTATGTGGGTCAGGCAGCCTTTGGGGCCAGTTTAGGTTATGTTCTGGTGAAGGTCAGGTCAAGGTCAGGTCAAATTAGGTCAAATTTTAAAGTTGAAATTTTTGCATAAAATGGATATTGAGCGGGAGCGGGAGCGGGAGCGGGAGCGGGAGCGGGAACGGGAACGGGAACGGGAGCGGGAGGGGGAGAGGGGAGTGGGAGTGGGAGAGGGAGAGGGAGAGGGAGAGGGAGAGGGAGAGAGAGAGAGAGAGAGAGAGAGAGAGAGAGAGAGAGAGAGAGAGAGAGAGAGAGAGAGAGGGAGGGAGAGTGGGATAAATTAACCTTTTTAGAAAACGGTCGGTACAGATATTTAGCGACAAACACGGATTTAAATTGAACCTTAATCCTTCTTATAGCTAGCCTGTTTAACGTGTTTCCATTTCCATCGCTAGTGACCTCGCCTTTAGGACACGTGACCGGAAACCGGCAGCTAAACTGCAGATATTCTAGGGGCACGGAAACCTTGAAGATTGGCTGTGCCGCAATGTCATTCCTAGTGGTTGTGAACCTGGCTAGATCGGGTCCTTGCGCTTCACAGATCGGCAAATTTGTAGTTAAGCAGCCCTGAAGGCACCGGCCAAGTTCCTCCGCTGGTCCCGGCCAAATAAGACACAAGGGACCAAACACCATTTCGCATGCTGGGACGTTTCTTATCACAAGTCTAGAAACGAACGGTTAGTGAGAGCTGACACGCCGAATGCCCGTTCTGGCCTGTAATGGGCTCTAAAAACTAGTCACAGACCAAAGGTCATTTTGGTCAGGGTCATGAAATTTTCAGGGTAGGTGTAAACTTTCAAATTGCAGATGGTCTGAACTTATCCTGACTCCTGAGTCCTGACCGCATGGGTATTTATTTACTTATAGTAAGAAAAATAACTTACGGCACTGAAAGCTTCGCTGCGATCCGCCACTTTTTACGCGAGTTATTCAAGAAAAACCAATGAGAGGGGTTCATTTTATCACCCATGATAAATAGTAGGGTTTAAATTCCATTAAAATTAAACGGTAACATCGAAAAATAATATTTCCTGTATATTTCTCAAGTTATTATGTTTTTTTTCGTAATGTTAATACCGAAATAAATAAATGTTTATTATAAAATGGTGGTAAATGCTTATAAGGTAAAAAATATTGTAAGTTAAACATAGCAAGACGTTTCCATTTTATTTCATCCCGTTCGTTCTAGCCCCCTCCCGCCTGCCGCCCCCCCCCCCCCCCACACACACACCACCACCACTACCACCAAACCGGCTAAGTTGGCTGAGGCGAGGCTGGCTGAGGCGAGGCTGGCTGAGGCGAGCGCCTCCCCTCCGTTCACGCCAAACAGCGCCTGGCTGTCGTGACCTCTGGCCTCACCGCCCGAAGGCTCGCCCGCTGTCCAAGGACGCCCTGCGCGAGCAGCAGTGATAGCCTCTGCCGAGTCCCGCCTCTATCCACCGTTCACCACGCGCTGGATTCATTCATGCCTCTGTGTTTCAGCGCCCTACCCGTTGGGTGGCACCACTGTAGTCAATAGGCGACTGCAGGGAAGCCGCGGTCAGAATGCCCCAAACGGCGGATTTTGAGGTTTTGTTTGAATTTCTCCGAAACTAGCCGGCATACGATCAAACCTTTTTCCATGATCATGGTAGGGAGCCATACGAATAAATTGGTCACATCTTCAAGCCTACAAAGCTGAAGACGAAAAAGATATAGCCGGAAAGGCAAAACCTACCCTTAAAACCCGCGAGACCTGTACCTTCCCGGAAAAATGACGCCCAGGGAGGTGACTGTCCAGTGTCCAACTTATTGGAATACTACCATGATTGCTTGTCAAAATGTGTGTCATCATGCTATTGTTTGACAAGTGATGTATAATAAATGTGATATTAAATAATTATCTCCTGACTGTTGACTGTTGAGTGGTCAAAAATATTCAAATAATCAGGGTACAATGCTGTGCATAGTGCACACTAATCATGTTGTTTTTGTGTAGGCCCTCTGCACATTGTTGTGTGCACTGCTATGTGCACAAAAAAGTGACTGGTGCACAAAAAAGTGACTGGTGGTACATGACAAAACAAAAGGTTGTGCAACTGTGAAGGTCATGCTCTTGGTCAAGCTGGTGCTAAATGCCTATAGCTATAGCAGGATCAGTGAGGGTTGTAGACATGCTACATACATTGTGCAATGTGCATTGAAGATATTGGCACAAAGTTCATCCGTAATTACTATGCTTAACACCTAATGTAGGAAGCGACATAAATGCCCAGATGATAAAACTCTCTGGTCAACATCACACAAATTTATTGACATACTTTGCAGGTACATATTTACATTCATGGCAAATACTTTCGATTTGATTCAGAAACTAGTTGCTAGTAAGCTTGCATTTTTGTAGGTACAACAACGACCATATATCAAATCATAAAAAACCTTCTCATGGTATTCATCACATACCTTTTTACCGAACAAGTACCTAGCTACCATACAATGATTCTAAAAAAAAATCCGCAATCCATCTATGTCTCAACTGACACAATGAATTTGAAATACCCTAACAAAACCTATAACTGTACATAAGAAGAATGCAATACTACAAGAACTATGAATTTCTGAAGTTATTCTCACATGCTGGAATGTTGAAACTCTACTTTTGTCGTCCATTTCCACGTTTGATTGAGCCATCATATCGAACTGTTTTTGTTCTTCAGTCGCAAGCTTTCGCACAAATCTTGAATTTTTACGCATCATCTTGAACCATGCTCCAGTCTTTCCAACAAGGTACAAGGCAACATTGAAGTAATTTTGATTTGTTATAACAGCTTCAGATCATGATAGGCTTGAGGTTTGTTACACCATTCCAGACAAATCTCTACAAAATGTGTATCAACTAAGTAATTGATCATATCAGTATTATGTTTATATAAAGAAACTGAAATAATCCACAAATTGTTATTGAAACACTCCCACTTCAAGAATTCACAGCAAATAACAGTACAAGTACAGAAGCAAACAAACATTGCGCCAGATTTCGTATGAAACGCGCCATCGTCCTGAAGTTTCTACCACAGACGGTAGTTCAACCGCAGCCGTAGTGCGAAAACCCCTGCCCACCTTACCCCACGGCGGAGCTCGGTTGCAATTTGTAAATACGCGCGCGCCGCCGCCCGCCCGATGGCGTCGTTCGTCGGAGGGTCACGTGATCGGGGTATGACGTCACACTGCTGACCGCCGGTGACGACGGGACGGTGAGGCCTCATCCGTTTGAAGGAAACCAGCAAGGCCGGTATGGAAATCAGTGGTGATAACGACTGCGGTAGTTTTTGTTTTCCGGGACGAGGGCTTCAAAAGACCGAGCGAACGCTCGAATATGACATGGACGTTTTTCAGCGCACAAAATTGCGTGACTTAGTATGAGTGTGACGACTGAGGAAATCAGCTAGCAGTCACCAGTCATGCAGCGAGCAAATGCAATGCAGAGCGATCCATCAATGTCGCAGTCTGGAGGACTCGGGAGTCCACTGGTCTGTCATAAATGTTTATGGACCACCAGGCGTAGCGGAAACCGCACCGTTATACGCGAGTGCGTTTGAAACGGTAATCTGTCCACCGCCCAGCGTCTTTACAGGCTCAGTCCAACTTCGCTGAATCTGTACCGGTTGTGGCCGGTAGACTTTTAAAATAATAGTTTATATAGCCACTCCCTAACAAACACAGCATACATCATGTAACGGTATTGAAGAAAAGCCGCTTGCAAGGACCACGAATCCGTTATAAAGGAGCGCAACGCATCATAGGCGGCGGAACGGGGAGGGGGCGCACCGGGGCACCGTGCCCCCTTGAATACTGCAAGGGGGCACCAATAGCAAGGTGCCCCCCCTTAAATTTGATGTATTAGTACCAGGGGCGGATTCGGGAAAACTCCAAGGGCAGGGTCATGAATCGAAGTGGTGCCCCTACCTATACCCAAAATTAAAACCTCAGCGGATTTTGGCCACTTAATTTTGGTGGTGCCCTATTTTCAGTTTTTTATTTTCTTTATTTTTGGTTAGTCGTGTGATGACTGGTGCCTCTGCTAGGCCGCTGGTGCCCCTGGAAAGACTGTGATACCTACCTACCCTGCCCCCTGACAAGCCTACGGTGGGCCCTGCACATGACTTAGGTGCCCATGGGCCCTGACAGGCCCGTGGTGCCCCTGACAGGCCTGTGGTGTCCTTGCTAGGCCTGTGGTGTCCCTGGGCCTTGGCAGGTCTGTGGTGCCCCTGGCGAGCCTGTGGTGCCCCTGTTAGAACGCAGGTGCCCTTGACAGGTTTGTGGTGCCCCTGACAATCCTAAAGTGCCAACGACAGGCTTGTGGTGCCCTTGACAGGCCCATGGTGAACTTGCGAGGCCGGTGGTTCCCCTGCAAAGCCGATAGTGCCCCTGGCAGGCCTCTGGTGCCCCTGGCAGGTCTGTGGTGCCCCTGGAAGCCCTGTAGTACTTTTGCTAGGCCGATGGTGCTCCTGACAGGCCTGTGGTGCCACTGACAGGCCCGTGGTGCCCCTGCTAGGCCTGTGTTCCCCTGGCGGGCCTGTGGTGCCCCTGTCGGCTGTCAGGCCTGTGGTGCTCCTGGCAGGCATGTGGTGACCCCAGGCCCAAAGTCATGACCCACGTGACCTCCCCCCTGGGATTCGCCACTGATTAGTACTGCGATGGCTTCATGGTAATTTGATACATGTAGGATTAATGGAATTTATCAAACGAGAATAAGGAAGAGACAAACACATAGGTACTGGAGGATCAGCTTAAAGTTAACCATAAATATGGGGGTGAACTGCCATTTTCGTTAAGTAAAAAAAAAATCATCGTGTCAGGGCTGTGACGAAAAATAAGTGGCATAAATCCGATGAGAAAACAGGATTTGGGGGTACCCTAGGTTTGGCTCCTTGAGCTGGTGCCCCCCCCCCCTTGTCTCAAATCGTTCCGCCGCCTATGCAACGCATCTCATCATTCGACTTCGAGCTTTGATGTTTACATTTGGCCCGTAAATAGTTTCTGAGTGCCAAGTATCGACCAATATCTAAAAAATATTGCCTAAAGATATTTCTATGAACACTAGTACCGTTTCATAATAAGATGCAAATAGGCAATCCACGTTTTCAGATAAGTTAGCCCCAACCCAAGCCCATCTAGTCTCACATCACAAATACCTAAAAATCACCTTGGTAGCACTACAAAGAGCAGAAGTCCATTCGGCCATCAGACCTTGCCGTGTCACAGCGTTTCCTGTCACTACTCATCAGCACTGCCACAGCTTCAAATGGACTCGAAATGGTCACCCATCCAGACAGACTCGCCCACAAAAAGTGGTCATTGACAGGAACAGGTACATGAGCCCATCCAGCTAACGACAAGGGCCGGCGACAGAAGCACTGTCATGTGAGGTGCCCCTTCAATTCAGGTAGTCGTCGCGGAGGTGGCACGCGGTGCACAGAACGGTTACCAAGGGTCAGGTCAGGTCAGGTCAGGTGGACGATCGGATGAGATTCGGTAGTGGACGGTGTTGTCCGGTTTGAGGTCAGTGACATCAGGAAAGTCTCCGGCTGGCTGTGAGCTGAGAAGTCCAGTTTTGGTCACCAACTCAACCCAGACCAGTCTCGAGACAGCCTTCTCTGGGCGCCCCACCATGCGGGACCGGACCTCCCTCCCCCTCCTGTTGGCGGTGCTACTCTGCGTCTGTCCTACCCGCCCCTGGCGTGTGACCACCAGGTGGCTCCCAGACAGGACGGTCCGACTCGGCTGGCTGATCCCCGCGCCACCTCCCACCGTGCACACCCGCGAAGGAGAGCTGCGCGGCCTGATCGCTCACAGCGCCGACGGACATCTATTCTACAGCTTCCTGGGCATCCCGTACGCGCGCGCGCCGGTCCGGTTCCGCTCACCGGAGCGCCATCCCGGCTGGAGCGGCGTCAGGTCGGCCACCCGGCACGGCAGCAAGTGCGTGCAGTGGGTCCACGATGACCTGGTGGGCTCTGAGGACTGTCTGTTCGCCAACGTCTACACGCGGCAGCTGCCGGCCTCCGGCGCGTCGGCCGGTCCGCGGCTGCCGGTGATGGTATTCATACATGGCGGGGGATTTGTCGAGGGCCACGGCGACGGCGAGAACCACGGACCGAGGTACTTCATGGACGAGGACGTGGTGCTGGTGACGTTCAACTACCGGCTCGGACCATTCGGCTTCTTCACGACGCACGACGGCCACGCGCCGGGCAACTACGGGCTGCGCGACCAGGTGCTGCTGCTGCACTGGGTGCGGGACAACATCGCCGCGTTCGGCGGCGACCCGCGCGCGGTGACCGTCTTCGGCAGCTCGGCCGGGGCGGCCAGCGTGTCGCTGATGGTGCTCAGTCCGCTCACCAAGGGTCTGTTCCATCACGCCATCAGCCAGTCGGGCTCAGCGATCTCCAGTTTCGCCGCCAGCGGCAGACGCAAGGGTCTGGCACGCCGATTCGCTGCAGAGCTCGGCTGCGCAGGGTCGGACAGCGCCGCGTATGTCGAGTGTGCCGTGGCCGCGTCCGCACGCGAGCTGATGGAGGCGAGTCACCGGATTCGGATCGCCGAGATCCAAACGGAAGGCCGCTTCCTTCCCCGCGTCGACCGGGAGTCTGTTCAGCCAGTCCTTCCTGATGATCCGAGAGCTCTTCTCCTCCGCGGCGAGTTCAACCTTGTCCCCTGGATGGCCGGGCTTGTGGAAGAAGAGGGTGTCTTTTATCTCTCATCAATTCCAGAAGAGGAAGACTTGCTCGATGGACTATACGCAGGAAACCTCACCCTGTGGAGCCTACTAGCGGACCTCACCACCCCATCAGAGACCAGTATCGTGGAATGCGGCGCCGACCCGATCATGGAGACCCACAACATCTACCACTTCCTCCTGTACATGCTGCCGGCGGCCAGCCCCACTAACCCGCTGCCGTTCGCCAGACTGCTCTCCGACCGGCTGTTCGTCGCCAGCAGCTCGGAGGAGATGCGGCTCGCCTCGCAGGTGGCTCCCGTCTACAAGTACCTGCTGGACCACCGCGGACCCGGCCGGCTGTACTACCACGCCCCGGTGCTGCCCGAGCTGGGCGTCACCCACTCGGACGAGCTGGCCTACATGTTCAACAGGGAGGGCCGTCCGCTGGAGCCGGCTCACAGTCCAGCACGCACCATGATCCGCTTCATCGTCTCGCTGTGGACCAGTTTCGCGCGCACGGGCCGGCCCAGCTCGGACGTGCGACCCATGCCCGACTGGCCCGTGTACTCGGAGCAGCGCGAGCTGTACATGCGGCTCAACTGGGAGCCCAGCGTCGACCGGAGGCTCTTCCCGGACCGGGTCGATTTCTGGCAAACCGTGCGCATCAACGAACCCTGGAGGCGTATCGTGGAGGAATGTGACTAGGCAGCTATATAATAGCCATTCTTAGCTCAAACCTGTGCTGCAGTGCTGTAAAACTCGTTTGTGTTCTTGATAGATTAGTTTATCATGCAGCGTTTGTAGAACCGCACAACGCTCAAGTCAGATCAAACAGGTCACTCAGGGTAGAGTCAGGTTAGGGAGACGCGAATCAAGGTGTGGTCGCCAGGTGTTGACACATTCGCCATCAACTCATGAATCGGCATTTAAATAAAACGCAAACTGGAATACATAATAAGGAATCTTTACAAACACATTACACACTACAAAAACGACACCCGATTCCCTTCGAACTTTCAACGGTTAAAACCTTCACAATGTCAAAAAGCTCAAGCTCGCAAGGAGACGAAGAACATCAGAAATTCTCCACAATAACTTTTAATTGAGTGTTTTACGTCGTATGCAAACGCTCCGGCCCATTAACTGTCCTTGCTGGTCGCTGCACACTCTGCATAACACCTGGGATCGTTGGTCGTGCGACGCCACCTAAACACATGTCGTTTTACCATATGAAACTACGCCATAGCCTGCGCCGTGCCACCACCCTCATCCGTCAGGGGACGGGGCGCGCGGTCGATAGCACGCGACGTTGCATCATCCTGGAAGTGGGATTCCCCCTCCTCCTCCCCGTCCAGCTCACCACTCGCTCGGCGTGACACGCTGAAGGGTTCAGGACGGAATAAGGGTTTCGGCTCGATCACTAGCTGCAAAGAATAACGCCAAGGCGGTAATCTCAAAAGCGTAATCTGAATTCACCACAAAACTTACTTTTGAATAAATCAATGAAACTTAGGGCATCACCCTTTCATTGCACGTTAGCGAGCGTGTTAGCAACGTAGCTTCTCATGTCGATGTCAACTTTGCACTACTTGGTCTAAGCAAGAAGTCTGCAAAGTGTAATGGCCCAAGTACAGATCCCTGCGTGCCACCATAATGACTCGGTCATTAGATGAACTCATTTACATTCCGCTCTCGTGGGCTGTTTGGTTGCCAAAGGCGTCAGTGGGCTGTTCGGCAGCCATTAAGTGATAATGCAGTTTAGCGAGCAAAAGTTCACAGACGGTATTCACATATCCGCTGCCTTTCCAAAGGGTAGGTCTATGTAAACTGCAACTTCATTAGCCAAACAGCGTTCTACTGACCTTGAATTTTGAGCACTAGCGTAGATCGGCAGTAGGCGACGAAAAAAAACTTGTATGCGATCTTGGATCAAATGTATTTTCGAAAGCTTTTAAGTAGCAAAATACTGGGCGCCTTCTTGCCCCACTCGTCTCAGACGCTTCACAGCCCCCGCGCTTCCACCAAGCGATGCACAGCCGCAAACACCCTGTCTGAAAAAGGCTCAAAGGGAATCTGATTAAGTACCATCAACTACAGGCCTCGCCGGTCTGGGACCGGGCGGGCTCTTGGCTACAAACTACATACCTCGCCGCTCCGCTCCGGGCGAGCCCTCCCGCTCCTCCGCTACCCGTCGTCCTATCACAGCCATCGCCCGGAGGCCACCCGTGCCGCCCCCTCCGGGCGTCTAGTTCTTCCACTGTCCCTTCTCGTAGTCCCAGTTGGAGGCCACGCCCTGGACCGGGTTCATGCGCAGGTCGATCATGCGCTGCACCTGCGCCTCGACGCGCTGCGGGTCGGTGATGGTGGCGGGCATCTTGTCGTACACTGCGGGACCAGACCGCGGGCGACGGGTCCGTCAGTGGCAGAAAAGGGCGACAGCATTTCACAGTGGGTTAATGGGTGCTGTGTGAGTGCAAATGCCCGAGTGTATGGGATAAAAAGTAAAAAATAAATGACGAAATTGACAGCAATGAAAATGATATAAATTTGACGACGTTCTAAACAGCGAAGCTTCTCGGCAACAGCAGCCAGAATTTCACAACACAATTTGGGAGTACCTGTGTATGGCTTCTTCTGCCATTTCGGTCAGAAAACTGATAGCTGCATTGCTCGGGTCTAACGATGCAAAACACTTGGGCCATAAACCACCATCTACAGTTCTTTGGCCTCTCTGGAAGGTCAAATTGGGGCTGAAAACGTTAAAAACAAGTTTCGCCCATAAGGTGATAACAAAAGGATTAATAGTAAGAAATCGAGACCAAACGAAAAAAAAAATCGTCGGTACGCGACAAGAACCGAATCTGCCTCTTTGAAGCTACCACAAGCATTCATCTTGAGATGGACCCCCACCACTCTATCGACTTGGTAGATCCCACTTGGCTCCCTCTAGTCCCTCTCGACTCACTGAAGAGTCGACTTGGAAGACCCCCACTTGGCTTCCTCTTAACTCACCGAAGAGCTTCATCCAGATGTAGACCCAGATGGCTAGCGAGCAGGCGATCAGGGTGCCGCCGAGCGCCAGCTTCCACTCGCCGGTGGGCGCCTGTATCTCGGCGAACGTGCGACAGAAGGTGGCGCGGTACAGCTCCTGCACCTCCTCCTTGGTGAGGTTCTTCCAGTCGCCCTTCTCCTTCTCACGCAGCGCCTGACGAACAGAACAAGTCAGAGTCGCAACGGGAGAGAGGAGTGAAGCGGGCACATAAAATCAAACACACCTGTTCAATGTGTTTATCCATTACGGTACAGAAGTCGAGGAGCAATGTGTGTCAGTCCAGGCCATGGCAGAACTTTACGAGTTTGACAGCGGCAGCGCGACCTATGCCGAGACTCGGGACGCCAACTGAAGCGCCATCTACCCAGGACGGTCAGGCTTGTCGCCGAATCCGGACTCGCGAGATCGCATCTACTTGGCAATTGGCGCCCAACCCGTTTGATGATGTTCTATTTGCCTACTCAACTGTGTCACAAGTCACAGCTTTCCAAAGTTGATTTTCGAAAAAGTTGCAACTGACAATATAGCATATACAGACCCCAAAGCTCGACAATCGACAAGCATAAAAATTAAAAACAGACTTTCTCTTAGACCACCGGCCTCCCGAGTCCCCAGTCCAGTCTGACCACTGCCGCAACCACATCCCGAGCCCGATCCCTTCTCCGACCCTCACCTTGATCTGGGGCGTCTCCTCCTTGAAGCGGACGGCCGGGATCGGGTAGTCGACGCGGTCAATGTAGTTGGGCTGCCCGTTGTACCCGTAGCCGATCACCTCACGCTTGCCGTGACGCTCGATGATGGCCGGCATGCCGTCGCCACCGAGCGCGCGCGCCGAGGTGCTGAGACGCGCCGCGCCGCCGGCCAGCCGCCCGCAACGGCGCACCACCGAGCCCACGGCGAAGCTGGCCATCGTGACCTGGAGCGAGGGAGGGGAGGACACTGGTGGTCAGTTCTGGGGCACTGGTAGCGTTTGTGTGATAGCTCGCTGGTGGTTAGGTGAGTCGCTAGGTGGCAACTCAGCAATACCGATTGCATGAGCAGCGAGTGGTATCATGTCGGCTTCTCTTAAAGTGTGTTCTTAAAACCGAATTCCAGAAACGTGTATCACCTATTCTTACTTTAGGTAATTTCTGATGGGAGTGGTCGAAAAACATACATTACGTAGATATATTTAAAACCAACAAGGCCTGCTAGCCAGAGCTCAGGTATTAGCAAGTTACGGGCAACTTGAGCCCCGGCTAGGGAGCCAAAACGATATGTTGTGTCGCCGTTCGGAAATCCGAGAGCGGCAGTTTTATGCCCGTTGCATCAGAATGACACCGGGCAGTGATCGACTGCGCTGGCAGGTAGCCAGTGTTTATGTAGCCGAAATAGGTGGCACAGGGCGCCTGTCTTCCAGGGGTGTAAAGTGTCCGCAGTCTGTGAGCTTGGAAAGCCAGGTGCTATACTTAATACACTGGCTAGCAGTGACCTGATCAAAGCTAAGATGAAGTCACAGATGCTCACAACAAACTCAATGTTGTGTGAGATAATGTGGCATGTTGTGTATGAATCATTTACTCATAGAATGAAATGGTCACCTAGGCAATTTGACCCACATATAGGTCAAGCTAGGCTATGTTTTTAGTTTTCTTAAAGTTATTCTTTTTTCATTCCAAATTTAACAGCTGAATTTACAGCTGAAATTTTCATGCCATTTTCAATTGTTTTACACATGGAGAGAAAACAAATTTATGTATTTATCTCAAAAGTTTGCATTACCATTGTCATTGCTATTGGGTACTATACCCACTAACCATATAGCTAGAAACAAACAGCTTTGGCAGCAGAAATGAATAAATCAGCATTATCTTTAAATAAAATATATTATTTTATAGTCAGCCAGCATCAAGTTAATGCAAAATAGCATATGAAAAAGGAAAAACTATGCAAAAAGATTTTCAATAAGTTGATTAGCATGTTCTGAAATATATTTGAGATGTTAGACAATAAAATGTGTTATCCTGCAACAATAACAACTTCCTTAACATTTTATTCTGCATCTGCACAGGCAGTCTAGATCTGGGAGGTTAGGAGTCTTAGTAGGTAGTCCTAGACTCAGATCTGCAGTCTGTTAAGTTACAGCACATGCATGCTAGGACAGCATTCCGATCCAGCACGCAAAGGCTTTGTTGCCATACCTCAGCCTGAGCCAGTAGTACAGCCACAGGGCACAGGCTTGTAAAGCGTATGTCCTACACACTAGCATGAGTGGCACTATTGTATGATGGGTGCTATCTTGATCATTGATCATAAAAGCATATCAACATTAAGCCACCCTTGTAAGAGAAGTTGATTGACACATACACTGTTCAACTGAGGGGTGTTCACGGGCACCGCACACTGCTGCGTGCGGTGTGTGCGGTGCGTCCAGCAGGCGTGGGGGTAGGGGATGGGTAGGCGGCTCTGACGTCACGGCTGCGTGCGGTGGACGGTCCGCTGTGGCCAGTCCCGACCGGCCACAGCGGTCGCTGTGTGCGGTGACGGAAGGCTGACGTAGGGACGCAGTGGGCGGAGCTTGGAGGCTGTGTGCGGTCCGACCGCACACAGGGCCCGTGAACAGCCCTCAGTTCAACTGTCAAAAGCCCATAGCTTTTCCATACATATTACCTAGTAAAATTGCATGTTAGATATCTATTAAATATTTCAACAAAGTTCTGCATTGTACAAATTGATTAAAACTACATTTCAACACAACACTTTTATCGTTCAAATTGAAAAGAATTAAAAACACTGTAAAGTGTAAGGTAGGGTAGGGCAAAGTGAGCAAATCAACAGTGCATGCCGATGCAAGCGAACAAATAATAACAAGAATTCAATCCATTCCCCAAATAAGGCTGTCGAATCAATTGCATTTACATAGAATAGTTTACAAGCAAGGTCTAAGTCAGTATTGATATTTATCAGGCTCCAGGTTGAGGTTGAGGGGTTGAGGTCAAGGTTGAGGTGCTCGACGCTCGCCAGCTGAAACATGAGTTTTCAGCATTCAAAGGCCAACAATAAGCCAAATACATTAAAAACATCCATTTTCGAGCAGGATGAACTATTTTGCGACCACACTGCCTAATTATGTACCTAAATTACTAAGAAAACGTCACCCACCTTCTATTTCCCGCCGCCACAAGCGCCGCCCCCTCACACGACCTCCAAGGTCATCGAATTGGAATGGCGACAGTTGCATTACAAAAGCCGTTACCTTTGGTATGGAGGTTGTATATGACGTCATTGGTTGCCAGTCATTTGGTTCCTTTGATTCATTGCATGAGATAAAATAAAGCTTTAAAATCCAACTCATTCGAAAATATTCAGATAGTAAAGCAAAATTCCTTGCAGAAATTGATCAAATAGTGCTGTGATTTGAGCAAATCACATAATTACATGTTACAACACTGAAAAGCTGGGAATAACTTACCAGAAATCAAATTGAATAGGCAAAACTAAGTGACCAAAGTAGAGCTGACCTAAAACTGCATTTTCCCCTATGCCTTACCTAGTAGTAGCGGCGGAACACCTTGACCTTCAATTACGGGGGGGGTGGGGCACCGACGACTTTTGGTCCCATTCTTTCCATACAACGCCCATAGGGCTAGGCTAGGGCATTTGCTTGATATGGCAAAATCAAGGGGGGGGGGCACGGTGCCCCGGTGCTCCCCCCGTTCCGCCGCCTATGTTACCTAGGCCCTACCTACACGCTCCGGACATTTTCCTGGCATAAAACCTGATCCACCTGAAGCCAACGATGAATCCAACTGGCTTTTTAAGACGTCATGAATAGCATGTCTCATGGCTCTAAGCTCCAATAGCCTGAGGCCTGGGCGAGCTGGCGTGGCCAATCCGAATGTAAACATACCACAGACGGCCGGGTGAAAAAATGATGCAACGTCGATGGCGGTCCGCGCGACCTTGAGAAACTCACCCGACCGGCGGCACTCGGACGTGTGACGAAGCTGCTGAGGAAGATGGAGGGTGCAGTGATGGACGCCTGCCCTGGCCAGGCAGTGAGCGGGGACCGCGGCCAGCTGGTCGCGGAGGACCGCTCCAAGGCCGAGGCGTTCGTCCGCACCTACGCCAGCGTCAGCCGCCACACCCGCCATCGTAAGAGGGACCGAGCCGTGAAGGCCAACCTGAAGAGAGCCCACGCGGACCCGTGCATCTGCGAGGGACAGCGGAGCGACGCCTGCCGACCCTTCTCTAGACTGTGAATTTATAAGTGGTGTTTGGGATGGGGATAAGGATGAGGATGATTGGGAGAAGGATGAGGATGTAGAGTGGGTAAAGGATGGGTGTGAGGATGGATTCAGGCCCGCCTACTGGCTGTTGTGGTAGCTTCTGCTAATATTCCTCGTGTGTCTAGGGGTATTCTAATCTGTGTCATCTGCACAATCCTATCATCGTTGTCTAGGGGTATCGTCTTACTCTCAACAATCATTTAACCGTCTATAGTTGTATTTACTGATCGACCAAAAACTATGCGACCCACAAACCCTTTCGTGTCCGAATCTTCATATTGCCAGCGTTCTCACCGACATTTCCAGCCTCGAAAAAGAACGGAGTAAGATATACATATTAAATATGTATTGAAAATGAAAAGGCCGAAATAAATAAAAGCGAACAAATTAAACAAAAGTACAAGAAAACGAGCAATGTCACGGTAACCGTGCACTGCTAAAATAAATATTGCCAAAGTGCTGATTGCCGAAACATTCAATGGAACCCGAAACAATGATCAAGCCGAAATCATGACACCGAAATAATATTGCCAAAGGGGTGGAACTGACTCATAGCAGCCAAACGTGCCGAAATGGACTGAGTCGAGTCCCGAAACACGGTGTCTCAAAAAGACATATAGACCAATCAATCGAACTTAAAAACTGCCCACAGTACCGCGGCCATCCTGAAGTGTTGTTTCCTACGCCAGTGTGACTATATGTGCGTGTCTGTGCCTGAGACATATCTCCGACCGCAGCAGAGACTCAACCGAAGTCAGGCTCTAACCCTTTCACTCCGCCGGTCGGAACCAGTGGCGTGGATAGGGCTTGGCAAGAGTCCGGTTAGAGACGTTCGACTGGGCAGGAGATAAGGCCCAAGAACTTACATGTTTGTAGACCAGACGCACAAGGCGACCACCACGGGCGGCGTCGGGACCACCACTCCCCGCGCGCGAACCAGAGAGCAAGAGCCCGAGAGAGAGAGCGAGAAGGTCTCGAACGCGCCTATTTATACCTTCGCACATTCACCGCACAGGGCCGCGCCCGTCTCTAGCCCGTGCCGTCTCGGGGCTGGCGCGGCCGGCGATCGGCGCCATGGTATTTCTATATAGCATTCACATATCTTACCAATTGTCATATCGCAATATTCTAATCTACCACCACCATGGTGCAATGTAGCATCATTATCCGCTCCCTATCGAGTATCGAACAATGCACAACAATCTGTACCGGTGTTCATACTACCCACAACGTTTAAACTACACATGCCGCCACCTGCAATTGCATATCTAAATACCGTCACCGCTATTGCCGCAAGCATGTCAAAATAACATGTCGCTGCGTAACATTCAGGTCAACGCACCATCACTCCAATCAGTGTGCCGTGCTTTGTGTGTCGCGTATCTGAACAGCCACGCCGTAATTATCGCTCGGACATAACCATGTACCTTCTAAATGTGTATTCCTCATCACCCTTCCTGATGTTGATAACACGAAACTCACTCGATGTCTTGTTGCTGCAAAAGTACCGATGCATTGCGCCAGCTGTCCCTATTTCCGACTGTCTATCCACTGCGCGACTGCCTATCTGGAATATTTTTGTTACACTGTTCCAATAACGGTATATCGCCATTTCACGGCTCGCATAATTAATCGTTAGACGGGGTACCTTCATCTCACATTCCCTCGATGACCGCGAAAGCAACACCTCGGTCGTTCGGTTTGTCTCTCAGTTCATACTTGTGCAGAAGTAGGTGTGCAGAAGATACGAGTTGAGTTGATAAGAAATCGGTCGCACCGAAGAGCCGGCATTGCTGCTTTGCATGTAGATCATGCACTGTCCATGGTCTGTCCGCTCCATTCCAGCCGAAGTACTGACAGCGCGCGCTCAGGGTCAGAGCTGAGCAGTGTACGACCCTCCCGCAACCGCGGGCTGCCGCTCGTAATCTGGCACCGATGTTGCATCTGATTCTGATCGGCCATCACCTGTTGATAGCAAGATATGTGCACCGGAGCCAACAGCTGTGAACACAAGCATAGTCACCTTTTCCCCTCCCTGAGACCTGTTGATGAAATGGGGTAGGATAGATACGAAAGTTGATCATACTTTTTCAACTGCCCTTTCTTTCAAGCTGTATATCCAAAAGCTACCTTGTGGTGTGCAGATAATACAGCGATGAAACCACACCAGGTGTACCTTTACTTCCTAAGGTTATGTAAATGCGTGGGCACGCCATCTCCTCGACGCGCTGAAACGCACAATGACCTCGCAGCGTCCGCGCTGGTCCGCGCCGCTCGCTTCTTGAGGCCATGGGTCATGGAACTCTGGAAATGCGTAATTATGGAGATGCCCCTGGGGAGAGGCAATGCTCTTCTGCTAGGAACACTGTCAGACCGGGGAGGTGCCGAGAGAGATAGAGAGAGAGAGAGAGAGAGAGAGAGAGAGAGAGAGAGAGAGAGAGAGAGAGAGAGAGAGAGAGAGAGAGGGTGAGATAGAGAGACGGAGAGAGAGAGAGAGAGAGAGAGAGAAAGGAGAGAGAAGGAGAGAACAAGCGTTCGTCTGTCATTCTGTCACTGTCTTTTGTTTCTCTGTTCCGTGAGGTGTGCTTTGCGTTTTGCCCTTATTGTACTCGCGATTATCTGCAGCCAGGAACCAATTTTCTCACATTCCTCCGTTTTTTATAACAAAATGATGATTACCACCTATGGGTTCTGAACCAATTTGCCTCTATGTACTCGTATTACCGCCAATGTGTTTTTGAACTAGCTTTTAAGACGATTCAATTAAATGACAATCGTGTCAAAATCGGTTGCTTCCACATGTCCACAGTCCAGTGTCCGACATCACCAAGCCATGACGATTCCGTCGCCCACGTCTATTGCCACGCCGTTTGACTGTTTTGGTTACCAGTACATGGCCCTAAGTAAAACAACATTTTCCACGAAATAATAGTTTTTATAACTATTGAACACAGACCTTCGGTCATGCCTACATGATAACGTCTGTTTCCTATTCGTTAGCCCCCGACCTTCTTCGTCTCCCATTGCTGCACCAGAGCATTAATAATTTGATAACTGTAACGAAGCAATCCTTTCGACCACATAACCACACCATATCAAAGGTTAAATCTGACCTCTGAAGAAATTGAAGACTGGACGGTTGACCCGTTATCTTGTACTGCGTACCGCATGTCATTCACCCACTGTCCGTTGGAAATTGGCCTGGAAGTCTGTTACTTCCATGAGTTACCTTTACCCGTACTGCTGTCCCTGTCGTTTGATTCCTCACGGGAGGGTTCTGTTATACAAGGAAATGGTGAGCTGATCTGTTGTCAGAACTTCTGCAACAAATGTCTTCATCCCTACTTATTGAGTGTACGGGGCGAGAATAGTGACAAAGGTCTCGGGGCGGCCATGGTTGCCCGGTAGTCGCACAGAATACCTCTTGAGATGCCGCCACGCCTGGGTCTCGCCTGTGATGTTTGACCCCTCGTAGGAGTTAAACATTGCCACCTTTGTATACGGTAAGCGACGTACCAGTACTCGTGAAGTGTTCCTCACGTGTATGGGGCCGACCGATCCTGGGGGCGGGGAACGAATGTTCCTTTGGAGACTCACAGCATCTCATGCTGTGTCATCCCACTTTGGCTGCGTCTTAGCCACCGATGAGCTGAGATCCCGCTCGTGACATTACTGGCCATCGTAAGGGTTCGACTGAGGACACCTGCGACCATTTGCCCCTGAACGCCAACTGATCACCGTATTCCGCCTTTGCACTCTCAGGGTAGTCAGACAGAGGACATCGTGCTAGTCGAGACAAGAGCCACCCGACCATTTGGTTGTTGACATTCTCAGAGGATGTTTTTACGTTATCCCAACAGCGGGGTATAGTCACTCTGCTGTCCTAAAAGGAAACTCACGACTTTATGGGATAGCAGTCGCTGGTTGAGTTGATCTCGCCGACCTTCTGACTTATCTCTGCAAACGCCCATGTCAACAGACCAGCGGTTATGACATTCAGTAGCGGTCACTGGGTAAATTGGGTTGCCAGTCCATCGAGAATTATCACGTGTTCATCCACAACAAGATATCAGACGTGTATTACGTAAATTCAAAACCTCATCTCAAGACCTTTACTGTCATTTGATATGAAAAACTTTTAACCAAAGTAACCTTACGGTAATTGACCGGTTTCCCTGTTTTGATGTTGAAACAAATGTCACCAATTTGTGGCATATTTTGTATGCTTAAATGGCTGATTCCGTCAAACCAAAAGAAATATCTCACCGTGCTAACGCCCCAAAACCGTCCGGTTGTTGTTAGCGACATTGGCGTCGAAGTGAAGATGTACTCAAAAGATGCATCCTTGCGCTGCACAAAATGCATCGAATTGTGCACGTTCTTTCTCACTCTCTACTCGCCCTATATATCCCTATAGGACTTAAGCGACCTGGTGCTCACCGGTCCCTGTGGACCTCCAGCGTGACCGCTGCATGAACCGACGCAAACGTAGAGGGGGATTCTTCCCAGACAAGCTGTCCGCGGACTCGCTGTCGTCTCTAGCTTTTTGCATCATCTTCCCCATCCTCTTACCCGCAGGAAGACCTCAGACTTCGAATCGTCTCCCTCAGACCAATTCGATCGCACACCTCCACCCTCTCCCAAGGGTTTTCATGACCTCTTGACACCATTGTCAAGCAGATGGCCACGCACCTGTCCTCGACAAGAGAATCGTCTCTGAGTCGAAATTTGCCATTGGCATCGCCGCCGCGAGCGAAACCTTCCGAATGGTCGGCTTCGGGCACGAATTATAATAGTTCTCGTCTCCTCCCGTCGCTGAAGGGGCCGTGGTTGGGCAGTCCACGCCAATTCCGTCATACCCCGCGGGCAGACGCCTTCACGCCCTCGGGTTTCCATGTCGCTAGAACAAGGAAAACGGAAACGAGGGCAACTGATATCCTCTCTTCCAATGACTGTCGTGGGGTCACACAGACGTCACCCATTATTCGATCTGTACCCCTCTGGCGCCTCGTCACTGGCAGTGTCCAAAACTGCTGGGCTCGCTGATCAGGCGCAGCCGAGCAGCGCGTATTGCCCAGGGGGAGTTGCCCCTATACGCTATTCCCGGCCCGTAGAGTTGGGCGACTTATCCTCCTATCTAAGACTCTACGTCCGGACACTCCAAGCACCCGATCGCCAGATGACATGCCAGCCGTAATCTTTCAACGTGCTGGTGGCCCCACCTCGTGGCGGCCGAGTCGTCCCGTATCACCGTCACATTAACCCCGGTGCCTACGTCAGGTATCAGTGCCGATATTATTATAATAACCGTATCCGCCTGCCAAGTAACAATTTCCGTCTGTGATGTCCTGCACATATCCTGTGAGACATTACGTCAGAACCGTCGTTACGTCTGCTCCGTCATGGTAAGCTGAGCTTACTTTTGGTCTTCACACTTTACTTTAGTGTTTCAAAAGTCAATACCTAATATCCCTTAAATCTCCGTCGACCAAAAGCTTGTTTGATACAGGGGATGATCGTCTAGTCATTGTGTCATTAGTCGCGCTGTAAGCACTAAGCATTCACATCAATTCTCATGCGTCACACACACATGTCACAGATCAATTAGCACGTAACACACGTAAGGTCATACTCAATTCCCCAATCATGCACATCAAAGGAAAGCCAAGATTTAGCCAGCAAATTTAACCACTAACTGAATTGTGATAAAAGTCTTTAGTTTGAAAATAGCATTTACTGTAATATGTACCTTAAATGTCTGTTACTGTGAAATAAAATGTTACTGTAATACGTTAAACATTTCATGATTTTCCAACTACGGGTGTTGACACAGCCCAGGTGTTCACAAACTCTGCCCTGCTGTCCTCCGGTGAATCTGTCCGGTGTAATCGGTGTAACGGCCTGTGGTGACCTTGACCGTGGGGCGCGCAGTAAACAGGTTACCGCTAGCCTTGGGCGAGTGCGTGTGCGTACAGCGGTGTCCTACTTCCACCTGAAAGCTTTCACCGACCGTGCTGCACTTCGCCAACAGAGACCCCGATAAAGTGGAGCTGCGAGAGTCGCATGTGAAACGTTTCGGCATCCGAAGCATAGCTGCTATTAAAATAATTGGACGGCAAATAAAATATCACCAATTTTGTAGGAAATCTCTGCTGTATCGCGGCATCGCCATACTATAGGCCCTTGGAACAAAACCAACCGAGAAGAGATAACGTTACTTCCCATGCTGTAATTGGATGTTGTTGAAAAAAAAAAACGTATCCGAAGTACAATCACAGGCTTTTAAAATGGAAACTGAGATACAAATAAAACCAGCAAAGAAATGTTTTAACTTCGACGAAATCCGATGCAATTTACGGTACCTACACAACCGAAATATTAATCGACCATTATACCGTGAAAAAAAAACGAACGGGCTGTCACCAGGCGATGCTAGCTGCTGTAAATGCAAGTCGGAATAAAGTTACACGAAATTATCGAATGGATCCTATGCCCGAAACTCCCCATAAGAAACCAATTAAACCTACGTTTGCCGAGCTTAAATCTCCAGATATCATGGAAGCCGCAAAATTAGCCGAAAAGTTTCCCCAATATGAAAGCCACAATAACATAAAATGTCATCTTCATCTCACATTCCCTCGATGACCGCGAAAGCAACACCTCGGTCGTTCGGTTTGTCTCTCAGTTCATACTTGTGCAGAAGTAGGTGTGCAGAAGATACGAGTTGAGTTGATAAGAAATCGGTCGCACCGAAGAGCCGGCATTGCTGCTTTGCATGTAGATCATGCACTGTCCATGGTCTGTCCGCTCCATTCCAGCCGAAGTACTGACAGCGCGCGCTCAGGGTCAGAGCTGAGCAGTGTACGACCCTCCCGCAACCGCGGGCTGCCGCTCGTAATCTGGCACCGATGTTGCATCTGATTCTGATCGGCCATCACCTGTTGATAGCAAGATATGTGCACCGGAGCCAACAGCTGTGAACACAAGCATAGTCACCTTTTCCCCTCCCTGAGACCTGTTGATGAAATGGGGTAGGATAGATACGAAAGTTGATCATACTTTTTCAACTGCCCTTTCTTTCAAGCTGTATATCCAAAAGCTACCTTGTGGTGTGCAGATAATACAGCGATGAAACCACACCAGGTGTACCTTTACTTCCTAAGGTTATGTAAATGCGTGGGCACGCCATCTCCTCGACGCGCTGAAACGCACAATGACCTCGCAGCGTCCGCGCTGGTCCGCGCCGCTCGCTTCTTGAGGCCATGGGTCATGGAACTCTGGAAATGCGTAATTATGGAGATGCCCCTGGGGAGAGGCAATGCTCTTCTGCTAGGAACACTGTCAGACCGGGGAGGTGCCGAGAGAGATAGAGAGAGAGAGAGAGAGAGAGAGAGAGAGAGAGAGAGAGAGAGAGAGAGAGAGAGGGTGAGATAGAGAGACGGAGAGAGAGAGAGAGAGAGAGAGAGAAGGAGAGAGAAGGAGAGAACAAGCGTTCGTCTGTCATTCTGTCACTGTCTTTTGTTTCTCTGTTCCGTGAGGTGTGCTTTGCGTTTTGCCCTTATTGTACTCGCGATTATCTGCAGCCAGGAACCAATTTTCTCACAAGACAAGAGATGCTGGACCAGATGCGGAAAATGAAGAACAAGAAAGCGCCGGGGATGGACGGTGTCTGCACCGAACATCTGCGCCACCTGGGTCCACTCGCCCAGGAGGTGATGCTACGCCTGTTCAACCTGTCATGGCGCTCCGCTGAAGTCCCGTCCGTCTGGAGAAGGGCGGTCATCATACCGATTCCCAAGGCCGGGAAAGACCCACAGGACGTCACAAGCTACCGGCCCATCTCGCTGACCAGCCACATCGCGAAGCTGATGGAGCGGATGGTGTCGGCGAGGGTGACGCACCTGCTGGACCGCGACAACGTCATCCCGGCCGAGCAAGTGGGCTTCAGGCGCGGTCGATCGGCGGAGGAGAACCTGGGACGCCTCATCCAGGAAGTCCAGGATGGATGGAACCTGCCAGCCCCGAAGGGACGTCCATCCGACGGCAAGACAGCCGCCAGGTTCGTACTCACCGCCTACGACTTCTCCAGAGCCTACGATGTGATTGACCACCAGATGCTGCGTCTGAAGATGCTGCACCGACTCCCACGGTGTTACGCAACGTGGATCTTCCACTTCCTGCGAGACCGACGAGCATGCGCGGAGGTCAATGGCGTCCGCAGCAGCAGCCGTCCCTTCCGAGCGGGCCTCCCCCAGGGCTCCGTGCTCGCCCCGACCCTGTTCACCCTGTGGTCGGCGGACTTGGTGGAGGAGCTCCGGAAGGTTGACGGCACATCGATCTACATGTACGCCGACGACACCGCCACCCTCAGCTCCGGAGCGACCATTGCGCAAGCGATGGTACGCGCTCAGAGAGCTGCAGACGTGATGGCGGCCTGGGCGCGGAAGTGGAAGATGCGGCTGGCGGGCAGCAAGACGCAGGTCCTGGTACTGTCCCAACGGCACGAAGATGCCCGCGACATCGTGCTGAGGGTGGACGGCACGGCAGTCAAGGGCACCCGACACCTCCATCTGCTCGGCGTGACCTTTGACAGATTGCTCCACTTCGGGGAGCACTGCTCTCGTCTCCGCCGCAAGGTGAAGCCGCGTGTGGCCCAGCTGAGGAAGCTGACGGCGCGCTCGTGGGGCCTGCAAGAGCCGCAGCTGCGAACCGTCGCCAACGGTTACGTCCGTGGTGCACTCGAGTACGCGGCGGCGGCATGGCTCCCGGCGGCGTCGGAGTCGCACGTGGAGCTGCTTGAGAGGGAGATGCGTGCCACAGCGCGCGTCGTGACCGGCTGCCCGATCAGCACGCCGAGAGACCCGCTGATGGCGGAGGCCGGCATGGTCCCGGTCCGGGCGCGCAGGGAGGCGTTGGCCGTCAGGCTGACCGCCACTGCGGCGTCGCAGAGGACCGATGACCCTCTCCGTGAGGTAGCAGCGAGGATAGCCCCCCGACGACTGCGGACCACCACCGGCTGGCGTGATGTGGGACGGGAGGCCCTCACCCGGCTTGGTCTTCAGGAGACACCCGTGGAGGAGCGACTACACATCACCCTCCCTCCATGGTCGGACTGTTCGGGGGTGGCGATCCGGCTGGACGTCGGCGCGGCTATTAGCAGGGAGGCGCGCGACGAGGTCCGCCGGGCGGCGGCCGAAGAACACCTCGCGACCCTGCCAGACCAGGCGACCTGGATCTGGAGCGACGGCTCGGCAGAGGGCGGTGTCGCGTCCGGGGGCAGTGGTGCCCTGATCACCCTGCCCTCTGGAGAAGAGAGGACGACCCGGACGCCGGCCGGCGCCGTCTGCAGTAGCACCCGCGCCGAGCTGGTGGCGATGCGTGCCGCTCTGGAGGAGGTGCAGCAGCTGGAGGACGCAACGTCTGCGACCCCGCTGGTGCTCTGCACCGACTCCCAGGCTGCGCTCGCCACGCTCGCGACGGGCGCCGGAGAACAGCGGACGACGCTGGGAGCCGAGATATGGCGCCTGCTCCTGGCGGCCCCGGACAGACCGACATGGCTGCAGTGGGTCCCGGCCCACTGTGGCCTCCCAGGCAACGAACGGGCGGACGAGCTGGCCAAGGAGGCCTCCAGCTTACCACAGGCAGCCGCGCCTGTGGACGTCCGCAGCCTCACTAAGGCAGTCGGCCGCGCCGCCTCCAAGGCCTGGCGAGATCGCTGGCCCGACAGCTTCTTCAGGCGGATTATGAGAGACAGGTTCCCGACACCTGTCCTCAACGAGACGAGGGAAGACGCGGTGAATGTGCACCAGCTTCGAGCGGGCCACTGGGGGCTCTCGACGAGCTACCTGCACAGGATCGGCCGTCGCCCAACACCGACCTGCCAGCAGTGCGAGGACCTGAAGTGCCCGGCGGCACTGTGTCTGGTCTGCCGAGAGGAGGCCGACACGCCGGAGCACGTGCTGCTGCGCTGCCCCTGCCTGGCGGGCAAGCGACTACGCCTGTTCGGGACCATACACCCCGATGCGACTCGGCTGCGGGACGGCGGGGCCGTGGCGGCGCTGGCCCGCGGCTTCCTCCGCCACCGAGAGCCTGCGGGCTACGGCCGGCCGTAGGCCGGCCCGCGGGGAAACAACAACAACAACAACAACCTTGAGAAACAGTTCTGGTGCCTGGCGTTAGGGCGTGACCTTCAAAGGCTCGGAGCTCGAGATGCGGCAGAGGTGTGTCCCCACTCCCCGGCGAGGGGGCGGATTGTGACGTGTGAGCTCTCCGATAGGGACGGGGGACTGGGGAGGGGTGTCCGCAGTGAGAGCCGAGAGGGGTGTGTCCCCGAATCCCCGGTGGGGAGGGGCATGTCGGGCGCCCCAGCTGTGGAGGGTGGGTCCCCGGCAGGAGGGGGGGGGGTGTCATCGGTTGCGAGGGGCGTACCCGGTGGGTAGGGTGTGTTACCGGTGGGGAGAGGCGTAGCCGGTGAAGAGGGCCAGTAGCGGCGGAACACCTCAATTAAAAGCGGGGGGGGGGGGCACTGCCGACTTTTGGTCCCATTCTTTCCATGCAACGGCCGTAGGGCTAATGTTAAAATGCCAAAATCAAAGGGGGCACGGTGCCCCGGTGCCCTCCCCGTTCCGCCGCCTATGAAGAGGGCCTGTCAGGTGTCGCAGGTGGGGGGAGGGGGGTGCTACTGTTGGGAGGACGGGGGTCGGGAGGGGCGTCCGCGTATCCGGCCGATGCAAGCTGGGGCTGTGCGTGAGGCTTGTAGGGAGTGCCGAGAAGTGTATCGTTTATACGGCACGGGTTTGATGGCCAAGAGGTGTGCTCCCGATAAGATAAAAATGGCAAAACGCACCGGGATCGTGGAGACGGAACCTGTAGGTGGATTCGACAGTTCTGCCCGCAGTCGGTGTTTCGAGTCGTTTTTTGGAAGCCGAAATCGGAGTAGGATGGAAGTAGGAGTCAAGTAGCAGGATATCAATTGACTCCGCCGCCTTGTCACCGGCGTAGCGTTGTCAGGGTAAGGCGTTATTCTGCTTTAATCCGCTTTTTTATTGGCGTGGGTTTGGTTTTGTCGAGAAGTGAGAACATAAAAAGCGAAGGAAACATGTCATCTCACATACCAAACCATCGCTTAGATAGTATCATCGTAGTCCCCATAGAGATTTACCTACACCGCCGTCGCCCTATTAGGGGAGACCCGGGAGGTATGGGATGGGCCGGTTTTGTGAAAAGACAATTTTCTTCAAGTGGGTAGGCTAGACCTGGTTTTTCACTCTTGTACGTGAAATTGCCTTTCGCCTATCAAGTATTAAGTGTGCCATGTATTAGGCATCTGGGATCAACTATTTTGTCTTCAGAAAACTTTAAATAAATCATGCGTTTTTTCGATCCATCAAAATACACCGGGAGGTATGGGCCATGGCCCGGGAAGTATCGGCCGGTGCCATGTTTCATATTCTTTTCTCGACATTGAGAACAATGCTCGTAGCTGGAGTTTAAGATGTTTTAGTAAAACATATTATTTGTCGTACATATTATTATTACAACATATTACATATTACAACATATTACAACATATTACATTATACCTACAACATATTATTTGTATACGACAAATAATATGTTTTTCTGTTCGAATGCAATCATGGGTGTCGTTTTGTATAGGCGTGGTAGGGCCCGAGCCCTACCAATAATTTTGGAATTTTAACATTATGCCTATGGCGTTGCGTGGAAAGAATCGCTTTGAATTGGCAAAAATTTACATCAGAGCCCTACCAATAATTTTCGGAAAGTGTCGCCCCTGAATGCAATTTGTAGTTAAATTTTTGACCTTGCGCGACAAGAATAAAACATATTGAAGAGGACATTGAGTGATTTTATCATCATTTTATTGATTTATTATCACCGAGGGTGGGTGGCCCGTACCTCCCGCGGTTAGGACGTCAGAATGTGCGTAGCATCTCAGCTCATAATCTTGCAAGAAAGCTTCAAATTGTCTATCCAGTCTTAATTTGCATACTACTTTATGTCAGCGATGGTCTGACATCATAAAACGAGCCTGGTTCAAATTTATCACAAATTTTCTATATATATCGTATTTTACTCGAAAAGGACAAAAACGCTTTATCACCACCCATCGCCAAAAAAAGACTGAGGAATATTTTGGAAATCACTTGGGTTGTAACTATAACGAAATGGCTGCTACCAGTTTACGCGGTCAAATGCATAAAAATACGCAACACTTCTTAAAAACTTCGATGGCCCATATCTCCCGGGGGCCCATATGTGCCTACCGGGTTTCCCCTACTCGTATATATGTAGGTACCTGTTTGCTATATGTATATTCCCTATGCGCATGGCGCAATAGATAACAATACTGAAAACAATCAAGTGTCCGTGTTCCACCGTTCCACCGCGTAGAACGATTATAGGGTTTGAATCGACATAGGTACGCACGCGACGTCGCACGCCTTTGTGCTCTAAACTGCATCGCGATCGTTCGCTCGCGGCAGACCCCGGTGATTTGTTCCGGGCCGAGACACCAAACTGCATTATTCTGTTTGTAGCCGAGTCAGCAGCCATAAATTGACGTTCGTTCACGGGTGTCGTGGTATTTTCTTGTCGCGGTGGAATTGTTTACCTACGGCGACGTCCGTGTGCACCGCTGGCTTCCTCGCTCAGGCTTCATGTGTTCAGGCTTCAAAGTCATTTCCTCTCATTCTCCTCTCTCGCTCCTCTTTCTCTCTCGCTCTTGTTCTCGTCCTCTAACGCAGTGCGTGATCCGTGTTGTTTGTAAAACATAGTTTGACATTTTTTGTTGAAGTTTTTTTTAGATGATAGTGGGGTTTGATTTTCCGATTTTGAGGAATAGGTGTGGTATCCTCAAATCCCTAGTTATGTCGAATCAATTCGACCAAAAATGACCAGAAACCCATCAATTTCCCTAGCATAATATTTTACCCACAATCAATAAGGAGCTTTCTCTTCCGCGTGAAACCCTCGCCGACCTGTTGCAGCCTCGCCTCGCTCGTCGGACGTTCTGCGGCGACGCGCCGGCCGTCGGTTCCCATCGCCGGCGACGCGTCCGAGCAGCAGTCGGCGACGGACGGCCGGGAGGAGCGTCGCGGACGACGAACGTGCGCTGGCGCCGTGTGTCTCGCTGTGTCGACCGCGTGTCCGCGGAGCAGTGGGCCGAGCGGCGGTGAGGTACGGGGCTCGAGCGCGGTGCGGCATCTCGCGGCGGCGACCCGCCGGCCGCGATATGAGTCTGTTTGTATTGGTCGAGCCGTGCCGGCCGCCGTCGAGTGATCTCCCCTGAGACGTTGCACGGCTCTCAGAGACGGCGCCGCGGCGAGACAGAGGCGCCGCGCTACGTGACGGCACGGCCAAACCGGCGCTAATCGGAGGAGTGTCCGTGTGACCGGCGCGCTGTGCGTGGGGCTCCGGCAGCAAGCAGCGATGGCCTGGAGTCAGCGAAACGGACAGGTACCGGTGGACCGCTCCGTCCCCGACCCGGAAACCATCCCCATGAGGCGCCTCTCCGGGCAGGACTCTCCGACTTATGACGTCACAGATCCTCCGTACGGCGTCAGCACCCCTCCGTATGACGTTAGTACTCCTCCGTACGACGTCAGCACCCCTCCGTATGACGTGGCGTTCCCCCACGTGCTGCCGTCTCGGCCGCCCCATGCATCGGAACTGGGAGGGTTCCGGGGACTGGACCTTTTGGCGAGGGCCGAGGGACCTCCTGAGTGCCCAGACACTCCGCCGCCTCCTCCAGAGTGTCTGGTGGACATTCCTCCGGACTTGGAGGAGCACCTCCAGAGCTGCCGCTGCCCGTGCGACCACCTCGGCTACGGAAACTACCAGGTGGGTCGCCACACGGAAACAATGCACATCCACTGCCCTAACTCAACTGTCATGAGGGTAAACGGCGCACGCAACCCTCAAACCACTGCTCTCACTTTGACATTTTTGTCTTGCTTCACCGCTCTCCCTTCATCGCTGACTAACCTAACCTAACCGCACAGACGGCGTCGATAGAAGAGGGGCGGAGGCGACCACCCGGGTGCTGAGCTGGCCTCCACGTGACGTATCGGGTCTGATCACCCGTCCGACACGCGTCGGGTGGGGTCACCAGCGAACACAGAGGGGAGAGGTCCCCACTCCCCCGGCAACGGGCGATGACCGGGGAAGTGGGAACAATTAGAATTGGATGTAGTGCATCCGCAGTGGTTTCAACATTACTTTGTCGACAGTAGTGGGATATTTCAAATCTTTGATTTGAACAGGGTGAGACATATAAAAGATATGTTTCTTGGCATTTATGTGCCGTAGGCTGCGTAGTGTGTGCATAGGCATATATTAAAAGCCATGTCCAATGCCCAACAGATTGGTTCACATATTCATTTTAAGTTTTTTTTTTTTTACTTAGCTTTAGGTAGGTATAGGTACTAACCTAAAGGCTAATGCATTGTGCGTTAAATATACACTTAACCGTAAGTTTGAATTAAAGTTAGCTGTTGCATATGCATAGTTAGGTACTTTTTACGGTGCATTATAATTTAATCTTATTTATTTGAAGATCCGTTTTAATATATGCTTACCTATTGCTCAATTAAGAACATTTTCCCCTAATGCCCCTAGCATTTAGCTATGGGCACCATATCGGTGAAAGCCACTTCCATATGTTTAATTACGTAACACCTAAACAAAAAGATGTGCAGTGCCTCCAACTTTAGTACATCCTTTCCACATGGAAACATAAATGTCAATGGCCGGATATTCATATATCATCGCCTTAAATGTCATGATGTGAAGTGAACGTTACGCTTTACCGCTAACAAATAAAATTGAAGGTTTCCGAGAAAGGACGCTATCAGATTGATGTTCGACTTGCTGTGCAATGATGACTTGACTTGAATCCGTTCCTCCTATACCATAAATGCACCCGATAGATACATTTATAAAAGGTGGATGAATAAATGATAACTTATAAAAAATAAATGAATGAATTAATGGATGAAAATGAGGAAAAATTAATGTAGATGTAGGCAAAAAAAAACATTTAATGCAGCATGATATACATACAATGTTCATTCAATATGAAGTTAAGTTGGGTAGATGGGCGAATGAACCATTCTCCCAAGTGTC